AAAAAAAATACTCGGTCTCTAACAAGCTTATCCTTTAAATCACTTATATTATAAAGGGTTAGGTTAGATGATGCATGACAAAAAAAATTGTGAAATAAGATAAATTACAGAATACTCATGAAATCTAGTGATGCGATAAAATACGATGCGGTTCTTGTAAATTAATTTTAGAACGAACACAATGCAAGAATAAAAAGAGAAATAAAGACTCTTTATAATGAACAAACTAATATAATAGACACCAATTATTTAAGATAACACTTATGTCGTACATTCTTCGTAGGGCTGCCCAATCTTTTTAAGGGTTGCATTACTAAAAAACTTCATTTTTCGACAATATTTAGTTTCCGTCACAAATCTGTCACTAAAAAGGGTGTCATAAATCCCTCACTAAAAGGGTTACACAAACATATTTACATTAAACTTACACTTACAAGGATTTTGTGATGAATTTCCAGTGGATACGTGACGGATTTCCGATGGATTTGTGATTGATTGTGATAGATTTGTGACTAAGGTTTGCACTTGACTGTAAAATTTGAGGGGTTGCTCGGGACACCAAGTAGGTCCGCCCTGATTTTTAGCTGGATATTCTAAGGATGCAAAGTTAGTATAATTTGAATATTATTTGGTTAGAACTGCAGATTTAATAGATTAATAAACCTGATGGTTTTTCATATATTCCAAAAATGAAGGAACATCAAAATATCGATATTCCCTACACCACTATGAAGAAAAAGGCCATTACCATCGAGAAAAGTAGCCAGTAAAAGTCCCAAAAGTGGCCGGCAATACTAATAGCGACGACGCGTCGCCGAGTCGTCGCTAATGGTCACTATGTCGCCGCTAATGAGAAAAGTCGCCGCTAATAAGTATGTCGTCGGTAATGAGTTGTGTCGCCGCTAATAAGTACGTTGCCGGTAATCACACTTGTCGCCGGTAAAAGTGTCGCCAGTAATAACAGTTTTCATTTTTTTTTAATAAATGATTTTTGTTGGCGGTGATAATGTCGCCAGTAATAACAATATTCGATTGAATATAAAAAATAATATTGTCGATGCTAATTACAAATTAAATATTAACCAACATCCGATTAAATATTAAACATAATAGTGTCAATGCAAATTACAAACAAACATCCGATTACAATTAAATATTAAAACATAATATCCGGGTAGCAAAACCACCAAATTTTTACAATCTACCAAGTAGCAAAGCATGACAACATATGCAAATAAAATGCAATTTTAGATACCACCATCTTCGTTCCCATCGTTTTCTTGATTATTGTGGGATTGAAAAAACGAATAAAGCTCATCCTTAAATGTCGGGTCGCTGAGCATTGCACGAAGATTTTCCAACTACATAATTAATAACAATATATATATATATATATATATATATATATATATATATATATATATATATATATATAAGTTAGATTGTCAAAGATAAACAAAAACTATCAAAATACATTGCTATTTTTAAACTAAGATAGAAAACCAAAGTACATTGCTATTTCTTGCACTTGGGACAAAAACCCAATTACGAAACTTTTTAAGAAATAATCGCCACAAAACCAAAATTACCAATTCCACATGCATTTTACAATGCTAAAGTATATTGCTATTTTTAAACTAAGATAGAAAACCAAAGTACATTGCTATTTCTTGCACTTGGGACAAAACCCAAATTACCAAACTTTTTAGCAAATAATCACCACAAAACCAAAATTACCAATTCAACATGCATTTTACGATGCTAAAGTAGATTTCTATTTTTAAACTAAGATAGAAAACCAAAGTATATTGCTATTTCTTGCACTTGGGATAAAAACCCAATTACCAAACTTTTTAGCAAATAATCACCACAAAACCAAAATTATCAATTCAACATGCATTTTACGATGCTAAAGTAGATTGCTATTTTTAAACTAAGATAGAAAACCAAAGTACATTATTATTTCTTGCACTTGGGACAAAAACCAAAATAGATTGTTTTACCTTTGATGGTTGTGATGGTTGCGAAAGCTGTGAAATCAGCGTGAGAGCACAAGGTTTACGACCAATTCCTCTAATATGCCCACGTCGCTCTCCTAATACTTTCTCGAATGTAGCTCTTTCTTGAGCGGGGGGGGGGGGGGGTTAACTCACTTTCACCTTGAGTTTGTTCTAACAGCTCTTCAACTAACTGATTTTGTAGCTCCCAAAAGTGAGTAATAATGAAGTATAAATAAACATTTAATTATATGATAAAATTATAATTAAATACTTACGTATTGTTTTTCCGCCTTACCAGTAACAAATACACAATTCTTATCGGTATGAGCTTTGCGAAACGTTTCCACTCTCTTAAGGTTCTGTTTAACTTTAAATATTAGATTATATTTTAAATAAATAAGTACATGTATCGTACGGTACCTTCTTATAGTAAGTACTGCTATACGAGCTCGAACCCCCACGACTTTTTTGTTCCTTTCTGATGCAATTATGTGTTCGTCCGTTTTACATAGTTTTACATGATGCATAAGAGGATGAAATTCACATACTTTTACATACATATACACCAAATACAAATACATACACATACACACAAAATAACATCCTACTTAAACCAAATACACATAATTTCCCATATATACATAATAACATCCTATTTATACCAAATACAAAAGTTTCACAATCATATACCACATTTACAAAAAACATACATACATTCACATACACACAATAACATCCTACTTATAACAAATACATATCATTTCTACCAAATACTAATATACCACATATACATCAAACACAGATACATTGACATATATATATATATATATATATATATATATATATATATATATATACACACACCAAATTCACATATATTCAAACAAATATGAAATATACAATCTAATTTTCACATATGACAATTTTCACATAATTTCATATATAAATACAAAATTCACAAAAAAATGACATAATAGAACCTGTAGTAGCGGAAATCAACAGATATGTAGCCGGAAAAACTAGTCTTCACCCGAAAGTACCCTCACCGGAAAAACTGAACAACACCACTAAAATCACTGAAATTGAACAATTTATTGCAATTTAGTCATCAAATTCAGCTTTTAATAATCATCAAATGTCCCTAAAGGCTAAACTACAAGTGGAAGTTATACAACTAATTGTCATTCAATCACCACAAACAAGAAATTGATTAACTTACTTCTAATCCAAAACAACACCATCAAAAACAAGAATATGAACAATTTATTACCATTCGATCACTAGATGAAGCTACAAATCGAAATTAACAAACAAATTAAAAATGAAATTACGAAATCAACTTACCTTTCTTCAAGAAATGGAGTTAGGAATTGGTCCCAAAAGCTTTAACCACACATAAAGAAATTTGCTTGGAACAGTGTGGGGAGAAATTTGCTTGGAAGAAACAAATTGAAGAGAAAAACGGCGAAATGGTGAAGGAAATTGGGAGCAAACAGAAAGAAGAATGAAGAATGGAGGGTTTCAGCGTGCGTTTTTTTTTTATTTTTTTTATTTTTTTTTTATCTGCAAGAGGCAATAGCGGCGACTCCTTTAGCGGCGACACCTAACCCTTTACCGGCGACAATCACTAATAGCGGCGACAAACTGAAGGGAAGGGTACCACGTCATTTTTAGTGAACTATTAGCGGCGACTTATTTTAACCTTTAGCGGCGACATATATGTTGCCGGTATTAGGATAGACAGGAAAAAACACCCCACCCGTTGGATTGGATATCTCATCGAACGGTTCAGATGTAACAGAGGGGGAAAGTGCGGATTCGGGTGGCAACCCTTTAGCGGCGACACTATTACCTGCAACATTGGTTTTTAGCGGCGACAATATCTAAAGTCGCCGGTAAGCCCTTTGTCGCCGGTAATAGTGTCGCCGCTAAAGGGTATATTTCTTGTAGTGCACCAAGAGTCTGACGGTGTTTCTGGAAGCAAATGATGTATATATTTATAGTCTGAATAACAAAATGAATTTGTTTAGCCTTTTTAAGTGCCACTTAACATATATACTAACAAAATTTGTGAATCAATATTTTGGGATTCTCTCTTGGATATATCTAACTGAAGCACTCTTGTCGAGACTCTCACACATGACAAATAGGTCAAATCTTATTTCTGGCAGAATGACAAATAAAAACTCAAAATCATTTATCATTTATAGAAGTGTACAAGACACAGGTTCATGGAAGTACGAGAAAACAAATGCCATAAAGTTCAATTCTTCTTCATGGTTAAATCCATCCATTTCTTTCAACTTTGGTATAATCTCAATTGACTTACCAAAAATCGACACAAAAGATATAAGAAAAAAGCTGCAAAACAGAAAATATCTCATTTACTTGAAATTGTTGGCGTAATTCAGGAATTAGCCCTCAGGGGCATTTTGGGATTTTTTATGGAAAATTTCCTTTTAAGGGTTATTTGTGTTAGTTTAGGATACCGTCTGATTTAGTATAAATAAGGGTATTGTTTTATTTTTATTTAATCAAGTATTCAGCAATAAAAGTTTCTTTTCCAGCAAGTATTTCACAGCTAGCGTTTTTTTCTTTCTTCCCCTGTTTTGCCCTGTTCTCTTCTTCCTTCCTTCCTTTTCTGTTCTGTTTTCTTTTTTTAGGCAACAAGGTTGCTTCAGGTAGATATCTAACAAAAATCGCGTGGCTTATCATAATGAATGTAACTCAAAGAAAAATGTCAAGCAGTTATCAACCACTGTTTCTCACCTCCCTCTCGACAGTCTCATAGACATGTTTGCAAGGGATTCTAGATATATTTAAAAATCACATTACAAGAAAATAAAATATCAAACAAGCCGAGTACATATATAAAATATAACCGGACTAAAATCCGCTTTATTTTTGCTGAACCAAGAACATGACACGCCATATATATATATATATATATATATATATATATATATATATATATATATATATATATATATATAGTATTGATCAATAAGTTTGAGGATTTGCATGGATAAAACCCTCAATCGCGTTGAAAGTTTTTTTGAATCCTTCTTTTACCATATTGAGAGCTTCCTCCGGAAGCTGAGTTTCACCTTTACAATTATACACAATGGTAGGCTTGTATACACATCCTCCATCAGGTGAAGGTATAAACTTCACATGATGAGTCATCGAATCTAGTTGTCCCATCAAGATGTCTCCTTCAAAGATTGTGTATATAATACTGAAGTTGATGCTATCAACGACGTCAAGTTTCAACTTTCCACTTGTAAATGGGACGCCTGTGTTATCCCACAGTAAATTGGGTAAAGAAAATCAAAATACAAGTCAAACATTAAAATAATTTAAAAGAGTATATATAAAAATCTATTTAGATCTTACTAACCATCCCCAAAAGAGATGTCCCTGATAGTTCCAGCGCCTCCATCACCTTCGATGTCCGCTAGGATTTTGTATGATTCTGGATCAACCTTTGGTGGAATGTTGTTAAAGTCACGATAGGCATTGAAAATTTTGGAAGCTGGGAGATGGATGAATAGTGGTGTGGTATTTATAGAACTATGGTATTTATAGAAATGTGGTATTTATAGAACTATGGGTTGCAGATGGATGAATAATGGTGTATTATTTTAATTTATCAAATTGCAAATATGGGGCAGTTGCATTTTGTAGGTCGGCATTTGTTTTGGACATTCGCAGGTTCGATAGTGGGGATGTGGGGTATTATTTTAAATTATCTAACGAGAACTATGAGTTAGTTGCATTTTTGGAGTCGGCGTCTATTTGGACAATCCCAGCCCCTGCAGGCTCCTTAGAGTACAGTTTTCTACATACATATTACCTAGCTAACAAGTTGTTACCGTTTCTTATACTAAAAGTTGTATGATATTCAATCAAGTATATAAATTGATAAAAATTAATTTATAGTAGATGATATGTGAGAAAAAAACAAAATAAGCACGAGTTTGATTCCTAAGAAAACCCAACTTTTGTCTCCATTTTCCACATCTTCCAATTTCAATCTTACTCTTAGATTTCTTTTAAAACTTTACATTCCCAACTAATTTCATTATTGCCTCATTTCTTCATCTACCTCATGACTATTTTGAAATTTATCGAACTTCACTTTTCATTTCTGCTCTATTTTCTAAGGTAATAATATAAAACATGTTTCAAACTCGTAGATGAAGGGGATGTTCGGTAACAAGTTTTTGAGAGCATTTGGATGCTTTTAGTTTTTCGATTTTTTTAAAGAAAAATCTGAAAATAAAAAACTTCTTTTTTCTAGATGTACCTGACAAAAACTTTTGATTTTAAACAAAAACAAAACTAATAATACAAGTTTCAGCTTCGAACTTCCAATTATAACTAGTTTTGCGAACACATATCCAAAAATCTTACACATGCTATGAGTCGTACAAATATAATGTCTCCTTTGCAAAAAGATAATATTTGCACAATTCATGTCGAATAACCGATTTATTTGCAATATTTAAATTGACTTATTTTTATGCTTACAAAACTATTATGAAGAACATAAATCATAATCATATTGCAACCACTGTTTCTCACCTCCCTCTCTTCAGTCTCATAGATTTTGCAACCATTTCAAAACTGGTGGTTATCTCAATAAAAATTCTCATTCACTAGAATCCAATATGAGTACATATATAAAATATAACCCGAATAAAATCCATTTTATTTTTGCTGAACCAAGAACATGACACACCATATATAGTATTGATCTGCACTGGTAATCAAAAAGCAAAAGGCTATAAACATCTTACAAAGACCTAACGGAAATAATTAGCTAGTACCTCTAGAGAATAGGAGACCAAGCACACAAACGCCATTTATTCAATAAGTGAATAAAGCAAACCAAAGACTGACCATTTGACCCTTTTATCCCACCAATATGGCCTAAAACATTGTAGGCTTTGTCGTGCAGACACGCTTGGTCTAGGAAGAATAAGTGACCTTAGGGTCCATTTAATAGTTGTTGTCTGTAAAAGTGTTATCTGGGAAACTGACCGGGAAAGAAATCATGTTGTTTGATTGTACATTCTGACTGTGCTGAATGATGAAAAATAACCATATCACCCCGTTGTTCTATACTGTGATGGATGAAATTGATGAATAATTATAAAAACGTACAATTTGTCATACAAAATCAAAATTAAATAATAATCATTTAAAAATCCAAATACAAATTGTCATACAAAATCAAAATGACACAAAATGTTATTTTAAAATTAGATTTTCTGATTGAAACTTTATATATGAAATGGTCCTCCTAAATCCTATGCTCGAAAATCAGAAGAAAGAAAATAAGATGAAACAAATGAATGTTCACATCTGGTAGTCTCCAATACTCTCAAATATGAAGAAACAAATCAGAAAAGATAAAAAAGAGGTGAAATGATTACTTGTGGGGCGGAGCTGGTGGCTGTAGTGACACTCTGACACAGGGAGGCTGGCCGGCTACGAAGTATGGAGCTTGCTGAGGAGGCGATGATGTCTAATGAAGAGTGCCGAAGAGAAGAAAGAAAAAGGCGAGTTATGGGGCATAATTGTCTTTCTGGTCCATTCAGCCAGAAAAATATTGTTTTGGGATTTCTAGGAAAGACATATGTTACCGGGTAAGACCCTTTTTTTATTCATATCAAACAGTCTTTCTAGACTATTCAATCAGAAAGATCTGTTTGAACCTAAAAAGATGTCTAATAAATTGGGCCTTACTACCATCAAGGTTCGGATCTTCGTCGAAATATTGGTAACATAATACGTTGGATGCAATGTTGTGACCTAGGCATCACTATCCTTCTTCTAAGATATCATGGAGAGAATATGTGGAAATCAATTTTGAATTTGCACAAACGAACACAAAAGTTGTTGTGAGAGGTGACGATGGCCTTGGAAGAATTTCTCGGGTTATTGTGGCTCTGATACCATAAAGAATGGTATATCTCTCATGTGTTATTATTGAATAATGATCCCAATATATAGGGAAGATACAAAGCTGGCAACCCATTTCGGAAGATAAATCAGCAGGAAAGGATATTAACAAATCTATCAATATTTAAATCAAGATACAAATATGATAATACCTATAACCCGACTTAACCAATGACCAATGTCAAGATTACCTAACATTATCTCCATAAAGTCCATTAAGCTACAAAAATTACTCGGTCTCTAACAAGGTTGTCCTTTAAATCACTTTTATTAGAAATGGCTAGGTTAGATGATGCATGACAAAAAAAAATATGTGAAACAAAATACTCGTGAAATCGAGAGATGCGATAAAATGCAATTCGGTTCTTGTAAATTAATTTTAGAACGAAACCTATGAAAGAATAAAAAGAGAAATAAAGACTCTTTATAGTGAAGAAATTAATATAATAGACACCAATTATTCAAGATAACACTTATGTCATACACTCTTCGCAGTGGCTAAGTTTCCGCCCTTCTTAGCCCGATATTCTAAGGATGCGATGGAAGTATATATAATTTGAATATTATTCTGGTTATAAACTGCAGATTTAATAGATTAATAAACCTGATGGTTTTTCATATATTCCAAAAATGAAGGAACATCAAATGTCGATATTCTCTACACCAAGAGTCTGATGGTGTTTCTGGAAGCAAATGATGTATAGATTTTTAGTCTGAATAACAAAATGAATTTGTTTAGCCTTTTTAAGTGCCACTTAACATATAGACTAACAAAATTTGTGAATCAATATTTTGGGATTCTCTCTTGGATATATCTAACTGAAGCACTCTTGTCCAGGCTCTCACACATGACAAATAGGTCAAATCTTATTTCTCGTTGAATGACAGATAAAAACTCAAATTCATTTATAGAAGTATATAAGACACAGGTTCTTGGAAGTACGAGAAAACAAATCTCATAAAGTTCAATTCTTCTTCATGGTTAAATGCATCCATTTCTTTCAACTTTGGTATAATCTCAATTAACTTACCAAAACTCTTCACAAAAGATGTAAGAAAATATCTCGTTTATTTGAAATTGTTGGCGTAATTCAGGAATTAGCCCTCAGGGGCATTGTGGGAATTTTATGGAGACTTTCCTTTGAAGCATTATTTGTGTTAGTTTAGGATACCATATGTTATAGTATAAATAAGGGTATTGTTTTATGTTTATTAAATCATGTATTCAGCAATAAAAGTTTGTTTCCCAGCAAGTATTTCACAACTCCCGTTTTTTTCTTTTTCTTTCTTCCCCTGTTTTACCTGTTCTCTTCTTCCTTCCTTTTCTGTTCTGTTTTCTTTTCTTGGGCAACAAGGTTGCATCAGGTATCAGGTAGATACCTTTCAGAAATCCCATCATCACTGTTTCCTGAAGGAAGGCCGTTCTTCCTTTTTCTCAAACAAAATGACAAGCTGTTGAAATGAAAGGAGAGTTATCAACCACAGTTTTTCACCTCCCTCTCTTCAGTCTCATAGATTTACAACCATTTCAAAACTGGTGGTTATCTCAATAAAAATTCTCATTCACTAGAATGCAAATTGAATGGACTTTTGTGGTTTGCAACTATCATTTCTGCATGCATGATGGTAAAATTAATGCTCATAACATGCATATCTGCACATCCTAGAAATTGTTTACATAGACATGTTTGCAAGGGATTCTTGATATATTTAAAAATCACATTACAAGAAAATAAAATATCAAACAAGCCGAGTACATATATAAAATATAACCGGACTAAAATCCGTTTTATTTTTGCTGAACCAAGAACATAACACACCACATATATATAGTATTGATCAATAAGTTTGAGGATTTGCATGGATAAAACCCTCAATCGCGTTGAAAGTTTTTTTGAATCCTTCTTTTACCATATTGAGAGCTTCCTCCGGAAGCTGAGTTTCATCTTTACAATTATACACAACGGTCGGCTTGTATACACATCCTCCATCAGGTGAAGGTATAAACTTCACATGATGAGTCATCGAATCTAGTTGTCCCATCAAGATGTCTCCTTCAAAGATTGTGTATATAATAGTGAAGTTGTTGCTATCAACAACGTCGAGTTTCAACTTTCCATTTGTAAATGGGACGCCTGTGTTATCCCACAGTAAATTGGATAAAGAAAATCAAAATACAAGTCAAACATTAAAATAATTTAAAAGAGTATATATAAAAATCTATTTAGATCTTACTAACCATCCCCAAAAGAGATGTCCCTGATAGTTCCAGCGCCTCCATCACCTTGGATGTCCACTAGGGTTTTGTATGTTTCTGGATCGACCTTTGGTGCAATGTTGTTAAAGTCACGATAGGCATTGAAAAATTTGGAAGCTGGGATGGAAGAAGAAATCTCGAACTCAGAAGTTATAACTGCCATGATATTAAATCACTCTTTAAATTGTTTTGAATTTTGCTTCTTTGAAATGTGGTATTTATAGAACTATGGGTTGCACATGGATGAATAATTAATGGCGTATTATTTTAATTTATCGAATGAAAAATATGGGGTGGTTGCATTTTGTAAGTCATCATTTGTTTGGACATTCCCAGGTTCCATAGTGGGGTATTATTTTAAATTATCTAATTAATGACAAATATGAGTTAGTTGCACTTTAGAGTCGGCATATTTGGACAATCCCAGCCCCAAGTTCCTTAGTGTACAGTTTTCTACATACATGTTACCTTAGGCGTTGTTACCATTTCTTATATTAAAAGTTGTATGATATTCAATCAAGTATATAAATTGATAAAACTATTACTATTATTAAGCACAGGGAGTACACAATGGCCTTTGGCCTAGTGGTAAAGACCGACACTCTCAAATGAGAGGTTATATTTATGTTCCTTTGGAATATGGAGAAAAATTAACCGTGCATATGTTGATAAAATTCGCCACCATGCAAGGAATCAATGAGCATACATGCATGTATTCCTTTTCATTTTATTTCATTATTATTCAGATTTTGATGTTATTTTATTGACAATGGAGAGATAATTAAGTTCTACCGGTTGACATATGTGACTATGTGTTTTTTTTTTCAAAAAAAGGCAATATGTGGATATCTTACTTCTATCCTATTTAGTTTTTACAACTAACATTGCTTACTAATTTTTTGATCAGATAGCATGAACAAAATGTGAATTTTATTTCTTATTTCTGTCTAAGATTGGGTCTCCAAGATCAGTTCAAGAGGCTAATGGAAATTAGTTATCAGGTTTGATAAAAAATCAACTTTATAAATTAGTATATTGCTTGCCTATTTTTCTGTCCTATCATTTTAATATAATCTGATGGTAGTTTTTGTTTTTTGAGAATTTTGTTCATGAGTTTTTGAGGTTAGTTTGACTGCTCTAATGCCCTAGCAGGAAAGGGCTTTGGCATTTTCATTTGAAATAGGTTTCTTTATTTTTTAATGTCAATTTGTAATTTATTACATTAGTTGAGATAACATACCAGCAAAAACTTATTTCGAGTGTGTTTGAATGTATCTTTTATGCTAAAGCACATGCTAATAAAAACTTTTACATTCACTACTAGAAACATGATTTGTAGCGACAGACTAATCCGTTGCTATTCTGTTAAAGAACATTTGCGACAGATCAAAGACAGACTTACTCCCTAGCCAATTTAAACGTGGCTAATGACTAAGCGAGGGATTTAGCAAGGGACTAAAATTTTCTTGCGACGACCTTAGTGACGGAATATCCATCGCAAATTGGTCACTTAATATATAGTTATTTATGATGATGGCGACAAAATTTGAATGACAATATACCGTCGCTAATCCCTAGCAAACCACTATATCTGTTTTCTAACCCCGTAGCTAATCCCTCGCAAAAAATTAAGATGTGACTATTTTCCTTTCCATCGCTAATCCCTCACAAATAAATGATATCAATTTTTTTTTTAATGAATCTAAAACAAAAAAGACCACAAACATCAAATAATTATACAAACACAAACCAAACATTAACATTTAAATACCAAAAGTATCCAATAATTTTACAATCTAAAACCAAACATTAACATTAAAATGCCAAAAAATCAACTATCAAAAGTTTACCAAAAACACTTAATATCAAAGTTTAACATTGCTTGATAACTTGCATCCGATTAAGGATCAGAATGGAATTGAATTCCAATTCACGTTTAATCCCATGGAATTAGGCGAACCAAGTTCCACTTACTTTTCCTGCAATGGAAGGAAAGAAAATATTGTGATTGAATTGGTCTTCAGAAATTAATAGTCACACCAAAATTAACAGCTTATTTAGCATTTATAAAAGAAGATGCAATATTTTTAATTAAAAAGGAAATTAAAGAACTAATCTTGGTCTCTAGGTCTTTCCATGTGGCCTTCTCTGAATGCCTGTAACTACCTTTATCAAGACATGTACCATAAGAACTCTCAAAGTGACATCAATTAAAATTATGCACATGTTATTTAAAGGTTTTATCCATGAAATATTATTTAATAAAACTAAAAATATGCCTGAAATCAATCATTTCGAGAAACTTGTTTTGGTATTTGCTGCATAAAACTTACATGTAAATAGAGTCATAGAATAAAGAACAGAGAACTTGTACCCTTTTTGGTGTGTATTGGATTGATGTCAATCAGACAAAATTTGCAATTTTTGTCTCATCCGAAAAAGTGAAAAAGACAGAAATATCCTCATACTCATCATCAAAAGTTCCACTTGAACAAAAAGGTCCTAAAGATGAAGCATCATCTAATCAATTTCAACCATGTAATTTGAAAGAACAACAATGATCACATTCCCCTAATAAAAATACAAAAGTGGGAAATCAGAAAACTTATCACTAAACCTCATAATAACACCAAAAAAAAAAACCCAACTCCACATGATTTAATGATTTCAAGACCAAAAATCCATTGGACATAGTTTAAAAGATCAAGGATGGCTCATAAGCTGACAATTGTCAATATATATTTTTTGGGAAGGAAATTTCGATATATTTGAAAAGAATACCTAAATTACATCTGCAATTGATACAAAACTAGTGTTAGCCCGAGCTTGAAATTGCGGATTGCCTCAAAGTTCTTTGTATATTGGGTATCTTCATTTAGTTCGGTTTGTATGTAAAAGAGGAATACATAATTCATATAAATGCAATAAAATGACCGTTTTACCCTTCTTAGTTATGTCTGGAGTAAGTGCTGATAGACAAAGATTGTTTCTTTTTTGGTCCCAAACATTCCTTGTCAACTCAACCATTTTTTTTTTACAAAAATGCAGTTATTTTTAGGTAAAAAAATTACATGAATCTTGGTGGTAGTCTTTAGATCAAGGAAGGATTTGACTGTGTTCCACCTAAGCCTAAACCCGGAACATAAATGATCCAGCATACGAGAAAATGGAAGTGAAATAAAAAAAAAAGTTGTGTAAAGAAGCAGACTAGAAGTCTCCCAAGCATGTGAATTGTGATGCACTGACCTGAAGTTTTTTGTAGATATCCAAAATTTCCAATTAATGGAAAGCACTGACCTGAATTGTGATTGTTTATATTGATTCACTGAAGAGATCGCATACCTTCCACCTGTAAAATAAATACAAGATTGTTGGCCAAATTACAATAATATCCTTCAAATTTATAACTAGTTTACTACCACCAATGTTTCTGTAAAGTACAAAATGATAAAGAATTAGTGCAACCAAGAAAAGGACCCTTATGTTATCTCCAAGTGAAAAGAACTTGACAAAATATATTATTAAAAAAACAAGACATTCAATGGAGAACTTCTAACCGGATGTCTCATTTTCGTCCTTCCTCTAGTAGTGATGTAAGAGTAAATCTATTTGTTTCATATCCCTGTAAAGTATGTAGATTATATAAGAATGGTGTTATATATGTACTCATAAACACTATTATGAGAAATTTGATTTCATACCAAGGCCAACAATCACCATATAATTGCTTGTAAATAATATATGTGACCATCACTGTTTTTAATCACACTGTCCTTCTGAAAGCAGAAGTCCTATCTGCAAAAATAAAAGAATTGACACTTTAAAGTGCTTAAAGAAATTGCAAATCATAAAAAAGTAAACTTTATCCTTAATGTGATCTTGAAGAACCAAGGACACAAGTATATGAAAAATTACAAGTATGTCTACCTCTCTAGAGTATAGAAAAACACCCATAACATGGAAGGGAAATATCGGAAAATGAAAATGATATCAAATTACCAATATTATGATTATCTTTTTGACATCTTGCTTGTTTAAATAGCCCAATCCTTGAAGCAAGAAACATACTTTAAGCATGTAATTTGGCTTAATGATTACTATTGTGACAACCAAAGATTGTCCGGTATGATGGTTTGTATATGTCATGCATTCTAGGATCCATGATTGAGTCTAAAGAGAGGGTATCATCAATTAATTACAATGTATGATTCAAAGAAACTAAATTTACTTTCATTAGGATAAATGAATATGTACCTTCATATGGGAATCGTAGTTTGAAGTATCACAAAGCATGAAAACAAAGAAGACCTGAATTAGGCATAATAATGCAATTTGTAAGAAGTAACAAACTAATGACAATACATCTTTTATAAATCTAGTTGGGGTAGGTTAAGATGAAATTTGTAATAAATTACCAAAGAGGCATATACTACGAGTGTTTGGAACATCAATATATAGATTTATTTAACAATGATTTCCTAAAATACATAAGTATTTGATACTAAAGTTTATTGGTAAAAGATTGGAAGTGGCTTCTTTTTCTTGATCGGGTGTAAGGATGACCAAGGATTTTGCTTCAAGAGAACTTATATATAATTATATATTAACATCATATTATGAAATGAAAAACCTTGTATATAAGGAATTATCAACTTCACAAGTGAGTGAAATTCACAGGGATAGTTTTTCATTCTTTTGGTACAGGAAAAAAACTTACAACACGTAGTTTTTTCGAGCTCTTGATAGCCATTTTAAGATTTTCCAATGTCTCTTGATGAAATTCAATGTCACCCTATGAAAAATCAAATCGAGCAACTACACATACAAAAAGAGAGAAATAAGAAAGTATTAGTTAAGACACTTAAGACAGTACATGAAGCAATACATCAGCAAGTTCATTATAGAAAACTTGTCAAATTAATGAATGCAATTTCGGTTCATCTATACAAGTTCAATCAGTTTCCTTAACATAAACATGATAAACAAAAAGCAAAACCCTCCAAAACCAGAGATGTATTTTCCCTGGAAATCCCCATGGGGAATGGGTTTGCCCGCTTTGTGGAGCTCAAACTCGGGGTCTACTCTGAAATATTGGGTAGAGGCTTCCGTTAATTCATTTGCCGTTTCCAAAAAAAAACTTGTGCTGTCAAATGACGAGCAACT